GCAAATTAGTTATTTGGTCTGTAGAGGGCAGTCTTGTCCCACTAAACATACCTATCCAGGAAAGAGTTAACTTTTCCTGGTGGCTATTTTGACGTCATTTTGCGTTATCTTTATAGCGCCATAATTTAAAATTTCAAAGGGTTTCTTAAATTTTGTCCAGACTTAGCGTCTGCAATTCCTGCCATAATTTCTGATATGACAGATCATGAACTAAGTTTACCCTTTTCCATACAATGGTACCTTATATATATAGACAGTTAAATTTTATTATTTAATCTTCTCTGTCACAATTGTCTGGGTTTAGATTTGATTATATTCTTTTAGCATTAGACAGTCTGTCCAACCCCCTTCCTTATCACTTGGCTTGTATATACTATGCATTCCTCAGATCTGGGAAATTGGTTAGCTTACAGATAGAAATATAGTGTCTTTTTGTTAACTTGAAATAACAAAATGGAGTCTGGTCTGTTCAGAGTGACTCAGAATATACACTTTTAGTTTCTATCATAGCACAAAATGTCTGCCGATATAAATACTCTGACAACAGGAAGTGTTTAGCTGTGTAAGTCACATGCATGTGTGACTAGGCTGCATAAACATGTGGTTAAACTCCTTAATAGCAGGTAATTTACCAGTGATACTGCAGGGGTATGATCTATAGCGCCCCTTTAAAAACTATAGCGTTCGTAGTACATGTTCGTATTGCTAACGCTATAGTGTTAGTTAAATAAAAAGAAAAATATTTTCTTTCTTTCTATGTCATAACTCCAGTCCCTTTAACCTTGTAGCTTGAGAGGTTTTATGTTTTTTTTTGTGAGAGAAAAATGCGTGTCTGAAGTGGGAGTATCCTCTTAAGTGTATGAGACAAACTTACCAGATTGCTCTGCTTTACGTGTGGGTATGATCTCTTCTGTAATGTCCCCTTCTCCTCCACATATAGTGTTCTGCCACCCCAGGTTCTAGGGAGACAGAGGATAGATAGCAGAGCAGCAGGAGAAGTAAGTCATGCTATATCACTAATTCAGGCCTCCCAACTGTCTTGATTTTGTTAGACATGTTTTCACTGCGTGGTGGGTACCATGCACATGAGAGTTTCAACATTGCTCTCTGCCTGGTTTTCTGTGTTGGGGGCCGGTACCGGCTAGAGATGCTGTCAATCAGTCTGTTGTGCTTTACTGCAGTTTTGACTCAAATTGTGGTGAATTAACTAAATTAATTGTAACAGCTGGGATAAAATAGCCACGTTACAACTACAGACAAAGTGGAGAACTTTTCCAAATAAATTGGCTGAAATGTTGCTGTTTGTTTTTCAATTCACTATTTATGTGAATAAAGTTTATTTTAAATATACAAAGCTCTATTATTATTATTGCCATTTATATAGCGCCAACAAATTTTGTACCGCTTTACAAAATTATAAGAGGGGGGATTTAAAAGAACACGTATTCATGACCCTATAGTGCAAAATCCACCATTACGGTGGCTTGCCCCCTCCTTACCCCCTTAAAAGCATGAAAAACATACCTTATTTTCAGGGTCGCGCGGGTCATTTTAGCCAATCACCACCTCCTCTATGAGGAAAATTCTGCATCCCCATGACGCTGAACGGCAGAGCTGCCTACTGTGCAGCACTGAGCCAGGAAACACCTCCGGTAGCCATCTGAGGAGTGGCCACTTGGAAGTGTCCCTAGGGGCAATGTAAACACTGCCTTTTCTCTAAAAAGGCAGGGTTTACATAAAAATTCCTGAAGGGAGCTATTATACTCACCAGAACAACTACATTAACCCCTTAAGGACCGGACTGTTTTTGCGATGTTGTACATTTGCGACCAGGCATATTTTTACACTTTTGTGGTGTTTGTGTTTAGCTGTAATTTTCCGCTCTCTCATTTACTGTTCCCATACAAATTATATATTGTTTTTTTCAGGACAAAGTGGTCTTTCTTTACATACCATTATTTATATAATCTCATGTATTTTAATTTAAAAAAATGATGAAAAATTGAAAAAAATATGTTTTTTGACGTTTACTTGAAAAATCTTTTACTCATCTACAAAAGCGAATGAAAAAAACTGCTAAATGGATTCAAAATTTTGTCCTGAGTTTAAAAATACCCAGTGTTTATATGCTTTTTTGCTTTTTTTTGCATGTTATAGGGCTATAGGTAGAAGTAGGATATTGCGGTTTCAAAACATAAATTTTTAAAATGTATCAATAGTGACATTGTAACACTATTATCTGTCATAAATCTCTGAATAACACCCCACAGGTACATATTTTTTTTAAAGTAGACAACCCAGGGTATTCAATATGGGGTATGTCCAGTCTTTTTTAGTAGCCACTTAGTCGAAAACACTGGACAAAGTAAGCATTCATATTTGTTTGTGTGTGAAAAAAGTTAAATAAATAAATTGAACGCTAATTTTGGCCAGTGTTTGTGACTAAGTCGTTACTAATAAAGACTGGACATATACCCCATTTGCAATACCTTGGGGTGTCTTCTTTTGCAAATAGTATGCCATCATGGGGGTAATTCTTATTCCTGGGCTACCATACGCTCTCAAAGGCAACGTAACCAACCTGGCCATTTTCAATGTAAAAATATTTGACCCTGTAACTTTCAAAAATGCTATAAAACCTGTACATGAGGGGTACTGTTTTACTTGGGAGACATCGCTGAACACAAATATTAGTGTTTAAAAACTGGAAAACGTATCACCACAATTATATCATCAGTAAAAGTTCTGTTTGTGTGTGAAAAATGCAAAAAAAGTCACTTTCACTGACAATATCATCGCTGTGATATGTTTTACTGTTTTGAATCACTAATATTTGTGTTCAGCGAAGTCTCCCGAGTAAAACAGTACCCCCCATGTACAGGTTTTAGGGTGTCGTAGAACGTTACAGGGTAAAATACAGTGCTAGCAAATTAAATTCTCTGGAATTTCGGCCTGGGTTGGCATGCAGGTCCCTCAAATTGCAATCAATAAAATTACTTAATTATGTAAAAATATTACATAAATACGCACGTAGAATTTAAATATATATGCATATTTATATATTTGAAGTCTACGTGTATATTTATATAATTATTTATGTAATTTTGTATATGGACAAATGTATATTTCGTATTATTTTTATTTATATATACATAGATATATATACAAATTCATTCTAAGTGTATTTTGATATAAATATATCTATATTAATTTTAAAATACAGTTAGAATAAAATTTCATATAGATATATAATTTTTTTCAATTTTTATTATTATTTTAAAAAAATTAATTTAATTTAAATTACTTATTATTTATATTTTATAATATAAATATATATATACAATATATATAGTTATTATATATATATATACGTGTGTAATTTAATTATAAGTGTATTTTTATATTAATATAAGTACATATTAATATAAAAATACATTTAGTATGACATATATATGATATATAGATATATATATATACACATATATAATTTTTTTTTTTTTTTTATGATTTTACACTAGCAGGGAGACTGCCTGCCTGTCAGCACAGGCAGTCCCCCTGCAGACAGTCACATGGACACCTATTGTGACCATGTGATCGATGTGTCCTAATCTGCCATGGGGAGACTGTCTGGGCTGCAGGCAGTCTCCCCACACCAGGAGCACCGCTGATCGCCGCCGAGGGAACGACGGCGATCAGGTAAGTAACTAAGACCGTTAGGACGGTTCAGGACCGTCAGCGGTCGGCAATGGGAAAATGCCGATGATGGTCCTGAACCGTCCTCGGTCTTTAAGGGGTTAAGCTATAGTTGCTCTGGTGACTATAGCGTCCCTTTAACTATAAACAGGACAAGTACAAGAAAACTTACAGGAACGATAGGTTGAAGAGGACCCTGCTCAAATGAGCTTACAGTCTATGGGAGGTGGGGTGTAAAACACAATATTACATATTGTGTTTATATTTCCATATTTCTGCATTCTACCTTTGGCTTGTTTTCCTTTTTACACCTTCTGTGTTGCCAAAAGCTTATTCCCATCTAAATATTCTTTCCATTCCTTGCTTACTTTATCCGCCCCACTACTCTTTCAGAATCTTGCAGCTTTTTATTTTTTTCCATCATTCTTCCCATCACGCTCAAATTCTTTACACCAGCTGTCTGTAAAAGACAATGCCCAATCAACTCCTTCTCTTCAGTAGGTTTATAAGTAATCTCCCATTCTCTCTTCCCTCCCCCCCTCCCCCCCCCACAACCGTTGCTCAGGCATCACTATTTCATATTCACAGCTATTCCCTTTTACTTCGAC